ATGATATTAGACGATTGGGTTTTGAGAAGACTAAAGCATGTATCAATCTTCTTTTATGTAGAACACACAATGCAGCAATCGTGTATGTAACGCAATACAGAAGAGGTTTGCAAAGACAGGGCTTCCACCTACATAAAAACAATTGCTACTGTAGGTGCTAGTCTTTGCCCCATGGCCGGTCTCTAATCTGCCTGTAATATTGCCCAGACCAGCGAAGCAGCCTACACATTCATCCAACAGGGTCATTAGTTGCCTGATACTGAAACCGTACATGTTAAGCGAATCGCGATAATCTAAGAGAAGCTCATATACGGCTTGCATTGCGTCTGCGTTCGAAATATTGGTATAAAGGGATGTGATGTCGAAGGATTCTATGGCACATCACCTTCTAATCGCGCATTGCTGAGCGCTGTAGAAACATGTTGGTGTTAGAAAGATGCGCGGGTACGTGTTTTAGCAACTACGTTAGAATTACGTTGAGTAACCAAGATATTCTGTAGTTCGGACCGCCCGCTCTGCTTATGATAGGCCTTACTTCGAAGTTGGATTTATGGGCGATAAAGCAGACGCAGAAAATTTGTGCGTTTTGATAGAACGTAAAGAACAGGACAGGTAGGATGGTCACTCTTTAAACGCGAAGTTAGTTTTGGAAACCAGCAGCATTTGTTGTCTCAATCCAAAACCTATTCAAGCGTGTCTTGCAAACTCCTTTTCGGGCGATAGTTGGTACAAAACCTCATCGTGCAAGTGATGTTTGGTTATTGCCTTGTGCAGTTCACGTGCCATAACAACAATTCCTCCTTTGTCACTGATAGAGATTTTAATCTCCCACTAGTGCAAGGTTTGTAATTTACGCAGACCGTGTGTATGTGGGCGCGAGATTACGAGAAAGGTGTTTTCGTGTGTATCGCGTGAGAATAGCAAAAAGTGATGTTGCAATGAGTCTGAATTTGCTTTTTATGAGGATTAGGCTCTTGAGGCTTGAATACCAAAGATGGAAAAGGCATAGATGGCAAACTTGAGCCCTTAGCTACAAAACGCTTTGTCGACTTTGTTCCTCGCTTTCTTGTTATGTTCTTTGTCGCACGTGCTCGTGAACCAATTGCAGGCTAAAAATCTTGCGCACTACTCTGAGAATATCGATTGGCTAGGGGCAAAACTAGGCCATAGATCTAGAACTGACAGCG